ATCCCAATGAATGTTTGCTGACCAGCCTTAATGCCCAACGTTGAGATACCATAGGTTAAATCAACAGAACGATCGATAACCTAAAAACAATAGCTGTGAACAATTCATTCAGTTTATTGAAGTGGTTATTGGTGGATTGGTCTTTCAACTGGAGGAATTGTCGGACAACGACCGTATCTGTGGAAGATGAGGACTGCTGAAGGATGCTTCCGCTTGTTCTCTATTGAACTGACAAAACATTTGATCTCGTGGTCAATAAAATCAAGAGATTTCCATTCGACGACTACAGTATAGAATTCCTGACTTTTTGAGAAAATCACCCGTCGAACTGCAGGGAATAGAGGAAAGCTATCAGAGCAATGTTCAGGCACAAATCACTCAGAAGGCATTGAACGATGAAACAGAAACAGAACGCAGCACAACCTCCTGATATGTCAACCACACGTAAGGTGCGCTACCGTCAGGCTGCTTTTTGCGAATGCCCAACATTGGACCATTATTGGATTCACGTAAGCCCCGACGAATCGCTTGGTGTAGTGTTCTGGCATCTTTAAAATTGTACTCGTGCAAACCCTCGTCACCAATGAATGCGGCTACTCGAGAACCATCCTAAAGCTTCATGTTGACGTTAACGACGAGTCTAATCTCTCATTTTCGGCTGGTGACATTCATTTGCATTCTTTTTGGTATCATTGAGGAAATTTTCGCACAATCAGCGAAAAATTGCTCAATGGAAGAATGTACGAAACATATGACAAACGCGTGTGGAGTAAACATGTGACGAAAATGATTGATGTGATGCTTGATATAACATCTGTTAGCGTTTTTAGCACTGGAAAGCAGACTTCACTAGTTGTTGCTTTTTAATGGTATGTTAAATTGAAATTTAAAAAAAAGTGTTCCTTGACTACTTCACATCACATTCAAACTGCTACTCTCACACAAACCGCACAATTGGATTTGGAGAACTACGCGAGTAATTCTGCTGAACTCAACTCATTTCAACG